CTAGATTATCTGTAACATGATAATGAATTAAAAAGATCAACAGTTCCTTAGAAATAATTGCAAAGTCCATTGATATCTGGAAAACCCATGTCGAAATAGATAATTTTGTTACTGATAAATTTTGTGTTATCTTTGGTCTTCCTTAAGTTCATTAATAAGGTTAATTTTTTTATATTTATCTTTGAAACGGAAAAATTTATGGACTTTTTTATTAAACGTACTTTCATATTGTTTGAGTCCGATTCCAGAAAATTTAAGGTTAAGTTTGGGATATGGGGTTCCTTAATCAAATCTGTCTGTGGATCTGTGGATTGATGAGATAATTCAAGTAGCTGGAAAAAATTGGTGAATAAAAGCAAGAAATAGAAAATTGTGGAGTAAGCTGGAGGAGGCCTTTACCCAGCATGGGGTTCCAATGACATAATAGTTATAGTTATTTATATATTAAGAGAAAATGTTATTTAAGGTTGTTGGAAATAAATGGGCTTATTATTATTATTATTATTAATCAAATCTGTCAGAAATGGTGCATACTACCACCTCTTGAAGGATTTAGGTCGACTTAACCTGTAACCCTGTATAGACGTAAGTTGACTCGACATTTAATATCTAATTATAAGGTATCGAGTCGGCGTCTAGATATTTTCGTAATAACAAAATTGAATTTGCGTGATCACATATTTTTCCGAAATCATTGATGGAGACTGGCATGCTTTATTTAAAGCCAAAAACCTAAAAAGAGAGGTCTTTGTTCAGAAGTGAACAAAATCAATCACATATAATAGTTATGGTGAAATTAGATTAAGTACTAAATCCAACTAACTTGCGCATAGGCCACGATAAGCTTGGGAAAACCAAAATGTACTATAGCTGTGACATAAGTAACATTTAAGGAAAAGATAGCACTAAAACAAAAGATAAAATGAAGTAATCATATTCGCAAAGTTTAATATAAATATTCCGATGACATCGACTTCATCGATAGCTTATAATCTGGAGATTTTCAAATGAATCAGTTGATTAAAGAGATACTAATTTTATGAATTATCATTAATATGTTATCTAATAAAGATTGGTAGCGATGAATCAGCTTTATTGTTCTGTTACGTATTATCGTAATCAGTAACCATGCCAGAGACGTGTGGAGATCGAATGGAAGAAGCTACTTTGTCTCTACGCGATGATTAACAAAATGTATTGTTAAAAAAGTTAAAAATTTGCCGTATGATATTACAGAATACTCATAAGTGCAGGTATTGCAAGAGATGAATAAGGTAGGAAAGTAGCATTGCCTGATGAATATCACCTCTTTTTAAACTGAGATCTACTACGCCTGTTACCAAAATTCAGTTTGAATATATTTGAACCGAGTATCAACCCTTGGAGTACTCCATGTGATTTATGCTGTTCTGTTCTCTTAATACTTCTGTAGCTAACTGCTGTAGTTATTTGAGTCAAATAGTTCTTAATCTTCACAGTGTGATTATTTCTATAAATCTTCATGTCCGCAGGATGACATCCTAGAAATGAAATCCATTAAATAATAAATATAATATGTCGATAGCAGATATTTCGATTAACAATTCTGTGAAGTTAATTATAGGTTGTTTTTCATGACTCAGTAGTGATAATAGCAATCTTATCGTCAGTTTTTGACTATATATTATCCATCTTGCGGATTTCAATATTATACTCACAACACCTTCTAAGGAAGCAACAGTGGGTGGTTCTTAACAGATATCAAAATGGTAAGTTGGCTTTTTACCTTTTGATGACTTTTCTTTTATTATACAAATCACAATTAGAAAAAAGCATTACTAGAATATTATCTTTATTAATTTTTATTACTTGCCAATTTCAGATGAAGAGCCTGATTCTGGTTGCGGTGCTCGCCGCTCTAACTGTCTGCAATGACGCAGCCACTCTTCAAAACCCTGCCTACAGGGCTAACCTCTACCAGGGAGCCATCAGACCCGGCGACAGAATACTCCACAGGTATGCATCAACTTCTTTTAAATGAACTTTACTTTCACTATATATGTGTTCACTGTTTAATAAGCTGGTATGGTTTAAAATTATTTACCTCGAAATCATCTTGATGTCAATCTATTTTTCATATTATGTATATGCTAACTGAGAATATTCTTCTTTGCAGCAACTACTACATCAAAAATCCCATTGCCAACGCTGTGCAGTACCAGGACATCACCTACCGTGGCAACTCCAGCACCAGGATCTCTTACATCCAAGTCACTGAGGTCGGCTACACCCAGTGGGGTATCCCATCCCTCAGGTCTGGTGGTGTCAACTTCAACCACGCTACCATCAGGCTGACCTCCCAAAGAGGCTACGGCTACTACTACCGTGTTGAGATCTGGGGTCGTTAAGACAACCATGAATATGATGATCTGGTCGATAGACAACCTCATAGACTTAACGGCAAGAAATAAGTAATGAAGCGGGTATTATTGTGTAAATTAAAAAAGTGAATCTTAAAAAATGTAATAAAATTATGTATGGCCTAACTCATTTTTGTATTTTTCTTACTTGTATCCTTATTTAAGTTTGAAGAACATCATGAAGTCGGAGATAATCATATTTTTGTGCGGTTTTGGCATATCCTTCAGTCACAAAATAAAATTTGAGATCTAGCCGAAAGTATAGTAGAATATATAATTATCTATCCGCCCAATATTTCCACGTTTGTCGGATATCGTCACATTTAGCAGCTGGCTACTGCCCGGACTACTAAATGTGCACTCTCTTACAAACTAGAAGTTTTCAAAAATAAAATCAAAGTATTTATTGGTGTACTTTTTGGTAATACGCAAAAAGCTGTCCATTACAAAAAGTATACACACTATAATAGGTAGTATAAATTTATTCCTCATCATCAAATAATTAAACGTAAAGAATAAATAAAATGTCAAAATTTGGTACAATATAAATTATTACAATCATTCACAACATATACAATAAATTAGTCAAGTTTTTTTATTAAATAAAAACATAGTCGTCAAGGAAGAAATCGTCAATGGTATAATAGCATTTTTCAATTAGAAAATCATTAAGTTTCCTTACTCTTGAAACCAATCTCAATGTCAATGCAATTTCAATCTAATAATATCTCAATAATTAATCAATGTCAATACTATACAACCACAATTGTAGCTGTTAAAATAGCATTCAGAATACGGAATATAAACCCAAACTCGATACCATTTAGTTCATTCAATAGTCACGCAATACGGATGCAATGGTCGCTAGTGTTGCAACTCGAGAGTACGATATTTCACAATACCAATGTCGATCGATCGGAATTGAATTCAAGAGTAAGCCTCCAGATTCTTAATACATAACATCACGCCTTTTATCCCCGAAGGGGTAGGCAGAGGTGTACATTATGCCACTGTACAATGTAACACCCACTTTTCACTATTTATGTTATGAGTCCCATGTAATAGGGGGTGAGCTTATTGCCATATACCGGGCACAATTCCAGACTCCGTGCTACTACTGGGAATTTTTTTGAAAAACCCAGTAATACTTTGCCCGACCCGGGAATCGAACCCGAGACCCCTTGCCCCGCAGTCGCACTTGCGACCACTCGGACAATGAGGCAGGCATTTTTGCGAATAGAAATATAAAGACTCAACCACTACCTCCGTGGAATTAAAAGTGTGATGCGAAGTTAAGACAATTTGAAACTTTTCCGTTTTAGCTTAGGCTCGGTACGGTGATTTGTTTATCTTCTTCACACAATAAGTCAAAAAGAAGTTTACATTTTATATAAGAGATATTAAAATAAAAATTCATGAACATAATAATACCATTTTAAGTAGGCGCAAGTTGAACATTTCTTGACTCCAACTTGATACCTTATAATTATATAGTATCGAGTCGGAGTCAAAAAATTTTCGTAGTAACAAAATCGAATTTGCGTAATTATCTAAATATTTTGCCGAAATCACTGATGGAGACTGACATGCTTAAATTAAAGTCGAAAACCTAAAAAGAGAGGCCTTTGCTTAAAAGAAAACAAAATCAATCATATATAATATTGATGGTGAAATCAAGATTCGGTACTAAACCTAACTTAGTTGCGCTTAGGCCAAAATATGCTTGAGAAAACCAAAAATATATTACAGCAGTGACAAAAGTAACATTTGAGGAAAAGATAGCACTGAAACAAAATATTTTTAAGGGCATAAGCCGGTAAACAAGCAGACAGATCACCTGATGGTAAGCAATCGGCGCCGCCCCTAGACACCTGAAACACCAAGCCCTTTTGTCAAATATTCCGTTGACAACGTCTTCATCGATAGCTTACAATCTGGAGATTTTCATATGAATCAGTTGATTAAAGAGATACTAATTTTATGAATTATCATTAATGTTATGTTATCTGATAAAGATTGGTAGCTATGAATCAGCTTTATTGTTCTGTTACGTAGTATTGTATTAAGTAACCATGCCAGAAACGTGTAGAGATCGAATGGAAGACGCAAATTTGTCTCTATGTGAAATTAACAAAAATACTTGTTAAAAAGTTCAAAATTAGCCGTATGGCATTATAGAACACTCCTATAATTAAGTGGAGGTTACAACGCTACTGCATTTTTTGATAAATTTTACCTCTTGACACTATAGCATTGGTCTCCAATCCATGCTTAAAAAAATCAGTTTGATTAAAGTTGGACCGAGTTGAACCCTTGGGGTACTCCATGTGATATATGCTCCTCTGTTCTCTAAATAATTCTGTATATAACTGTTGTAGTTATTTGGGTCAGATACTTCTCGATCATCTTTATGCTGTGATTAGTTCTATAAACCTTTATGTTCATAGGTTGACATCCTAAAAAATTAAATCCAGTAAATAATAAATATAATATGTTGATAAGTAATTCTGTGAAGTTAATTATAGGTTATTTTTCATGACTCAGTAGTGATAATAGTAATCTTATCATCAGTTTTTTCACTATATATTATCCATCTTGCAGATTTCAATATTATACTTACAACACCTTCTGAGGAAGCAACAGTGGGTAGTTCTTAACAGAAATCAAAATGGTAAGTTTGCTTTTAAACATTTTATTTTATTTTTATTTTTTAATATACAAATTACAATTAGGAAAGAGACTAGTTAAAATATTATCCTCATTAATTTTTATTACTTGCCAATTTCAGATGAAGAGCCTGATTCTGGTTGCGGTGCTCGCCGCTCTAACTGTCTGCAATGACGCAGCCACTCTCCAAAACCCCGCCTACAGAGCTAACCTCTACCAGGGAGCCATCAGACCCGGCGACAGAGTACTCCACAGGTATGCATCAATTTCTGTGAAATGAATTTTACTTTCTTTACGTATTTGTTCAATGTTTATCAACCTGGTATGGTTTAAAATGATTTACCTCGAAATCATCTTGATGTCAATCTATATTTCATTTATATATGCTAACTCAAAATATTCTTTTTTGCAGTAACTACTACATCAAAAATCCCATTCCCAACGCTGTGCAGTACCAGGACATCACATATCGTGGCAACTCCACCACTAGGATCTCCTACATCCAAGTCACTGAGGTCGGCTATACCCAGTGGGGTATCCCATCCCTCAGGTCTGGTGGTGTCAACTTCAACCACGCTACCATCAGGCTGACCTCCCAAAGAGGCTACGGCTACTACTACCGTGTTGAGATCTGGGGTCGTTAAGACAGCCATGGATATGATGATCTGGTCGATAGACAACCTCAAAGACTTAACGGCATGAACTAAGTAATGAAGCGGGTATTATTGTGTACATTAAAAAAAGTGAATCTTAAAAAGTGTAATAAAATTATGTATGGCCTAACTCATTTTTGTATTTTTCTTTCTTGTATCCTTATTTAAACTTGAAGAACATCATGACGACGTCGTATTTTTGTGCAGTTTTAGCATAATAATATCCTTAGGTCACATAATAAAATTTGAGATCTAAACGAAAGTAGAGTGAAATACATCATATCTATCCATCCAACATATTTCCACGGTTACCGAATATCATCACATTTAGCAGTGGGCTACTGCCCGGGCTTCTAAATGTGCATACCTTGACAAACTAGAAATTTTTAAATTGAAATTCTCCTTTTTTTATATAATTTTACACCAATACATATGTGTGCATTTTAGTGATATGCAAGAAGCTGCCTATTAGGCATACACTATTTAAAAGTATAAAAATATTCATCATCATCATCAAATAATTAAACATTAAGAATAAATAAAATTGTCAAAATTTAGTTATAATATAAATTAATACAAGCATTAAATATTGAAATAGGATTAAATAAACATTGAAATAGGCAAGTTTTCATTATTAAATAAAAACACTTGTCAGTTTTTATCTATATATATACTAATACTACAAAGAGGAAAGATTTGTACCTATTTGGTATGTTTGTATGTTTGTAATGAATAGGCTCAAAAAGAACTAGGCCGATTTAAAAAATTCTTTCACCAGTACAATGCTACATTCTTCCAATTTGACATAGGCTGCATTTCATTTTGAAAAAAATTAGAGAACCTTGGTGAAATTTAAACAATGTAACCGAAGGTGTAGAAAAATGAGTCATAAAATGTCTTTCGCCGAATGCGCTGCCGAAACTATTAGCGATAGAACAAAATAATGTAGAGGTACAACAATATTGAAGAACATCATAATGTCTACAAAAAACTTCACGGTAGCATATGTCCAACTATTGTAGTTATGTCACTACAACAATCTAAATTTCCAAAAATTAATAATTGCCTACCCCGTGTGAAGCCGGGACGGGCTGCTAGTATTTAATATATACCTCTACAGTCAATGGTATAATAGCATTTTTCAATTACAAAATCATTAAGTTTCCGTTTAATTTGTGACAAGTTCATATTCTTGATAGTATTTTGGATTTTCTATACTATAATATTATAAAGAGGAAAGATTTGTTTGTTTGTTTGTAATGAATAGGCTCCGAAACTACTGGACCGATTTCAAAAATTCTTTCACCTCTGGAAAGCTACATTATTTCCGAGTAACATAGGCTACATTTCATTTTGAAAAAAAAAAAATTTTCTACCCCGTGCGAAGCCGGGACGGACTGCTAGTATTTTGGGAGCCATGTAAAGAATACTTTTATACATAAGGTTTGTCTTTGTCGATGTTCTGGTCTTGTCGATCTATGACGTTCTTCTGAGGATTTTTTAAACAAATTTCTATATTTTCTGACGAACAGGGCAATTTCGTATATGTGAGAGATGTGAGAGACAAGCTAAAGTTAGTATTCTAACTAAGAGACTAAAAATGAGGTTTACAACTGTCTGTAACTTTGTGGGTATGGAATTAACATGTTAGGCGTCGCGGTGGTTGTCTCCTAGACGCCTTTACTTGACCCAACCTACTTTCCAATAACCAACAATTTTCAGAGCATTTTTCCTACACCTTCACGATGAAGAGCAAATAAATAATTTTGCGAATAGAAACATGGAGACTCAATTAATCCTTTCGTGGAATTAAAGGCGTGATGGGAAGGTAATGACAATTCTAAACTTTCCCGTTTTGTTTAGGGCTCGGTACGTTAATTTGTCTATCTTCACAAAATAAGTCAAAAGGAGGTCAAATTTGATATAAGAGGTAGTAAAATGAAAATTCATAATTATAGTAATACCATCTTATATAGGCGCACGTTGACTCAATACTTTATAACTATAAGGTATCGAGTCGCCGTCAATAGATTTTCGTAGTAACTCAATTTAATTTGCGTAATCATCTATTTTTCCGAAGTCACTGATGGAGACTGACATGCTTAAATGGAAGCAGAAAACCTAAAAAGAGAGGTCTTTACTAAGAAGTGAACAAAATCAATAATATATAATAATGATGGTGAAATAAGATTCAGTACTAAATCCAACTTAGTTGCGCATAAGCCACGATATGCTGGGGAAAACCAAAATGTACTACAGCAGTGACATAAGTAATATTTGAGGAAAAGATATCACTGAAATAAAGGATTTTTTTAATAAATTATTTTTTTTTATAGCATAAGTCGGTAAACGAGCAGACGGATCACCTGATGGTATGCAATTGGCGCTGCCCATGGATAGTTGAAACACCATGGCGTTACTGGTGCGTTACCGGCCTTTTGTAAAATATTCCGTTGACATCGTCTTCATCGATAGCTTAAATTATGGAGATTTTCATATAAGTCAGTTGATTAGAGAGATACTAATTTTATGAATAATTTTTAATATTATGTTTTCTAATAAAGATTGGTAGCGATGAATCAGTTTTATTGTTTTGTTACGTATTATCGTAATCAGTAACCGTGCCGTGAAGACATTGAATGGAAGACGCTACTTTGTCTCAATGTGAAATTAACTCGATTATTAAAAATACTAAAATTAGCCGTATGGCTTTATAAAATACTCATATAATTAAGTGCAGGTGTTGCAAGAATGAATAAGGTGGGACAGTAGCGATAAATTTCACCTCTGTTTATACCGAGGTCTCTAACTCCTGTTAACAAAATTCAGTTTGAATATATTTGGACCGAGTATCAACCCCTGGGGTACTCTATGTGATATATGCTGTTCTGTTCTGTTTATAGTTCTGTAGCTAACTGCTGTGTTATTTGAGTCAAATAGTTCTCGACCATCTTTACGGTGTGATTAGTTCTATAAATCTTCATGTCTGCAGGATAACATATTAAATAATGAAAGCCAGTAAATAATAAATATAATATGGTGATATTTTTTTATGGGTAAGCCGGTATACGAGCTGGCCGATCACCTGATGGTAAGCAATCGGCGTCGCCCATGGGCACCTGGAATACCAGAGGCGTTATAACTGCGTTACCGGCCGATTAGGGTAATTAAGCCTTCAGTAACCGACCGAAATACAACGCAAGCTTCGTTTCACGTCGGACTTCTGTAAGGCCGTGGTATCTATTTGATATTTAGATAAGCAATTCTGTGAAGTTAATTATATGTTATTTTAAATGACTCAGTAGTGATTATACCAATCTTATCGTCTGTTTTTGACTATAAATTATCCATCTTGCAGATTTCAATATTATACTTACAATACCTTCTGAGGAAGCAACAGTGGGTGGTTCTTAAAAGAAATCAAAATGGTAAGTTGGCTTTTTAACATTAGATGACTTTTCTTTTATTATTTTTTTATAATACAAATCACAATTAGGAGACAGAGTAACTAAAATATTATCCTCATTAATTTTTATTACTTGTCAATTTCAGATGAAGAGCCTGATTCTGATTGCGGTGCTCGCCGCTCTGACTGTCTGCAATGACGCAGCCGCTCTTCAAAACCCTGCCTACAGGGCTAACCTCTACCAGGGAGCCATTAGACCCGGTGACAGACTACTCCACAGGTATGCATAATTTTTGTTGAAATGAACTTTTCTTTCACTACATATGTGTTCACTGTTTTAATTAATGTACAGGTTAATACCTGGGTATAGTTTAAAATTATTTACCTCGAAATCATCTTGATGTCAATCTATTTTTCATATGTATATGCTAACTCAAAATATTCTTCGTTGCAGCAACTACTACTACAAAAATCCCATTGCCAACGCTGTGCAGTACCAAGACATCACCTACCGTGGCAACTCCAGCACCAGGATCTCTTACATCCAAGTCACTGAGGTCGGCTACACCCAGTGGGGTATCCCATCCCTCAGGTCTGGTGGTGTCAACTTCAACCACGCTACCATCAGGCTGACCTCCCAAAGAGGCTACGGCTACTACTACCGTGTTGAGATCTGGGGTCGTTAAGACAACCATGAATATGATGATCTGGTCGATAGACAACCTCAAAGACTTAACGGCATGAACTAAGTAATGAAGCGGGTATTATTGTGTACATTAAAAAAGTGAATCTTAAAAAGTGTAATAAAATTATGTATGGCCTAACTCATTCTTGTATTTTTCTTTCTTGTTTCCTTATTTAAATTTGAAAAACATCATGAAGTCGGAGATAAACATTTCATAATTTTGTGAAGTTTTAGCATATCACAAAATAAACTGGGATCTAGCCAAAAGTAAAGTAAAGAACATCATTATCTATCCACCCAATATATTTCCACGGTTGTCGGTTATCGTCACATTTCGTAGCGGGCTAATGTGCACTCTCTGACAAACCAGAAAATTTCAAATTACAATTCCAAATTCACCTAATAAGCTTGGAGATAATTGCAAAGTAGTAGGGGGACTTGTGTAGAGGGACCATATAGACTATCAAACTCTCAATAAAACAGACAATATTTCCATTCTTGTGACGTCATAAGAAGCTGTACAACTACATATTTATGTTGGTATTTTTTGTTAAAATGAAGTTGTATTGCAGACCGATGCCTTATTGGCACTATGCCAGTCACAAATAATATAAGCGCACCTCTTATAGACTATATTATGTAATATTATGAACGTTGTTGGTAATATTGCCAGCTGGTAGCTTGAATTTTTAATATGAGCTTGGAAAATTCATTTATTTTATTATTGTTGTATATATGTTTTTGTTGTCATTTTTATTATTTATTGATTTTACTATTACTCCTTTTGGTTTCATGTCTAATAGCGAATAAATTAATTTTCCTTCATTCAATTTGGATAGAGTTTGAGAGTGATGTAGTACAACATTTGTTTCTCTCATGATTATTAACGTACACTGGTTTCTTTGTTGTATTGCTGTTGAATTACAACTGCGGTGACTGTTTGATGGCACTTAATATCACTGTACAATATAACATCCAATTTACACTATTTTTGTTGTAAATCCCACGTAATAGGGGTGAACCTAATGCCATATACTTCCATACTGCGTGCTACAACTGAGATAAAAAAACTCAGTAAGACTGCCGACCCGGGAATCGAACCCGAGACCTCTTGCCCAGCAGGTGGTTGCCGCTCGGCCAACGAGGCAGTATGTATATGTCAATATAATAAGCTTAGCTGGTATGGTGGACGTAGGGCAGAACACATTTCTCACTGCTCCTCTTGCTGCGATTGTCGTAAGGGCTGGCTGAGGAATTACACATCTTACACTGAGTTTCTGCGCTCTCTGATAAATCTAAATCTTAAAAATAAAGTTTGTCGAGGATATTATGGAAATCCCTGTTTGAATATCAAGCTCCAGGTGTGTTGCTGGTGATCTTGAATAATAAAAGACTTAGCTTAGACTTAGACGCTTTTTTTTAAGGAGGGAAAATCATCGAATGACTGCTCCCGCCTCGGTGAGGTGGGAGGGAGTGTCAGACTCTTATTGACTAAAAACCACCCCGTTCCTTCTCCTGCACGTAGAGCCGGAGCCTCGGTTACCCGTTAGGTTCTCCGCGACTCCGAAAGACTTAGACGCTATGATGAGAAAATACTGTATTTAAATAGGTACTGATTGTAAGGGTCAATCGAATGTCCGCACGGCGTCGAGTCGTGCGAGCGAGTGAGTGAATGACCGCCGATCGCAGTGGTCGCAGGCCGCGTATGGGGGTGAGCCCGATGTGACGTCAGGAACAATCCCTCTTATGTAGAAGAGGCTCAGATTCCAGAAGTGGAACGGTAACTAATCTCGTACTTAATAAATGAGTACTCAGAAGATATTTTAGTATGCTTATCATACTAGGCATAATCAGCATAAGCTGACCTTTAAATGTTTGGAAAGATAACACAAAATGAGACCATGATATACTGGTTTTGTTTAGCTTGATGTGTCCAAAATGAGCGTTAATATAATGTGAATGTCCTAGTTTTCCATTCTTATGATCCGATGAATCAAATTCGAGGATGACACTGCAATACTCTCGACGAGAGGCGTAAGATAACTCGCGCAAGATCAGCGCTTCAGTTTTTCAATTGCCGAGTTGAGTTTTTTTTTATACTTTGTGGACACACACAGAAAAAAAGGAGTTTAGGATGCAATGTACCTGAGATTACCTGATAGTGTAATTAAAATTGTTCCAGTTTCTGTGATAAACTAAAAAAGCTGATTGAGTTTGCCTAAGACTGTTCCCGTATACGGCAAAAGACTTTCTCCCTGTTCCATTGGTCTAATCAACCTCTCTAGCATTAAAATTATGACACTCAATAATCTTAACGGTGTTTCCCGTTGTCAATTTTACACGATTGCACAATTAATAGTTTTATCAATATCGTACGTTTTCCGATTACGATACTGTATCGGGACATCTTTTTCCAAAAAACCACTTTAGCAAGATATTAGACACCTAATTATAGCACGGTATTAATGGACCATGTAATATTGAATAACAATGAGAGTCACTATCGCAAGTATAATCCAAACTAATATTATAATATGATACTAAGTTTGTTTGTTACGTTATCATTACCAAACGTTCTTCTTGATGTCAATGGATAGTACGGTATCCAAAAAAAAGTAGCGTCATACGCCCACGGATACTGTAGTATCCAAAGTGGTGTTTCCCTCCCTCTAGTTTAAAATACGGTATTGTTTGGTGAGTTTTGACAGATTATCATCTATACAGCTGATGAAGTAGTTCGTTCGTAGACCTTTTTTTTCGTATTTTTTTCAGGAAATACAGATTCTGGCAAATAAGTCTAACTATTCCAAAATTTCCATGAAAAACTAATTAGATTTTCCAGTGCTACGAGCCAAATAATATTTGAAATTATAACTCTTTCGGTAGATAAGCGCTGAAGAGCATTTGGCTCATAGTATTAGTCAGTCAAGGAGAGAGAGTCTTTTTGAGATTTTCTGTCATAGATGGCGCTACAGCATTATAAGGTCACTATACTCTTAAGCTCATACTTATGGATACTCTTCCTTTGTCTTACGAGTGAAGTCAAAGCAACAATTAGTACTACATGAACAAAAGGTAATTTCCAGATATTGTGATAATCTATTTGGAACTTTAATAAGAAAACAGATATCAATTTATTTATAAACATAACATGATTCAGTGAGTCATTTACACCTTCTGTTTTCCTCAAGTTTAATTATCTTTAATAATAAACATATTTATTGATAGTAATTCGATAAGGAGTTTCTATGAAATTCAGGCTGGAGTTGTTTTTCGTGAGTCAGTTCTGATATCAGTAATCTTATCACATGTCTTTGAACAGTATAAATACTATATTTTGCAGATGTTAACATTATATTCACATTGACTTCTTAAGAAGCAACAGTGGTTTCTTACTTGGAATTTGCTTATATTAAATCAAAATGGTAAGTAATATTTTTATTACTTTTCTCTATTGTATTATCATATTACTATAAGAGGAGTCCTTTCTCGTAATTGATTATTCTTTTAATCATTACATCAGACTTAACTATTTGTGTTTCCTATTGATCATTGTTCAGTTTTCTATTCTCTAGAAATGTGTAATGTCTATTATTATCCTTATACACATAATGTCTTTTCTCATACACACTCGTTTCTTATAAACTCCTTCATAAAAACATTTATTTAAAAATCATTATCGATAACGTTCCTCATTTAATTTCTTATTTTTGCAAATTTTAGATGAAGAGCCTGATTCTGGTTGCGGTGCTCGCCGCTCTAACTGTCTGCAATGACGCAGCCACTCTTCAAAACGCTGCCTTCAGGGCTAACCTCTACCAGGGAGGTATCAGGCCGGGAGACAGACTGCTCCACAGGTATGTACCAACTTTATTGAAAATCATTTTATAATCTTTAAATTACACTGTCACTTCACGGGCTCCCTGCCCCTTGATGAAGACTTTTTGTCTAGAGAATGTAACAAACGTTCTCGTCAAGAACTAGTACTTAATTAACATCACTTGCATAATTTGAGCCTCTGGAGTAAATAAACAATTCCATTAGAACTGAATCAATCCACATATCACGGTTTACCAATCATGTAAAGCTCATAATGTACGAAAAATCAATGGACTATACTCCCTATCCCCGTAGGGTATCAAAGACATTATCATGGAAATATTCACAAAAGAAAAGAGTCGTTAAACTATTTTTGTCCTCATAAAATATTCAATTGGGAACAAGTGATTCCAAGAACCATCCATTGATAAGTATGTTAAGAAACATTTTATCAATAGATAAGGTGACAAGTGGAAACCCTATCATGATAACTTATTCATTGAAGATAATGATTATGCACTTGAGACTTAAGTGTTTTGTAAACTCATGCAGTTGCAATAATAAAATTGCATTTACTTGCAAATAGTACTCCACTAGTTTAAAAAATGAGCCTTATTACAATCGCCTAATGAAAGACTATTGAATGTTCTTTTTTCTATTCCATTTACTTCTTTGTCAGTTTAAATCAAATGTATAGTTTCTTGATTGGCATCTATTATGTGATCAATGTCTTCATTCAAATTAAATACTACACCTTTGAAAAATGCAATGTCATTAGGGTTAACTAAGTTCTCTTTCTCTCATTTAGACGTTTTATAAGCCAGAATACAAGCTGACAATGCAAGTTTCTACTAAACATCGATGCTTCTAACCGTTTCTTACACCAGATTTTAATGTACAATTTTCTTTCTTCCAGCAACTACTACTACAAAAATCCCATTGCCAACGCTGTGCAGTACCAGGACATCACCTACCGTGGCAACTCCAGCACCAGGATCTCTTACATCCAAGTCACTGAGGTCGGCTACACCCAGTGGGGTATCCCATCCCTCAGGTCTGGCGGTGTCAACTACAGCTACGCTACCATCAGGCTGACCTCCCAAAGAGGATACGGTTACTACTACCGTGTTGAGATCTGGGGTCGTTAAGACAACCACCGCTAGACAAACAAAATGACCTAATGATATGAAATTAATTAGTATTAAAATCCTTTGGATAGTATTATTATTAATAATGTACTTAAGAGATAAGTGAATCTTACAAAGTTCTCATTGTAATAAAATTATTTATTGTTAAATTCATTTTTGTATTTTTCTTTCTTATGACCTGTGATGCAGAATTATAAATTACACCTTGCCTTATCTAGAGCAATTATGCTAATATGCTCTACTTCTATTAAATATCTTCGTTTGTTTATAGAAGACACACTTCACTTTCAAACTTTTACAAAAACATAGCATTCTTTTGGACTACAAAAGATGAAAATTGATCAGAATCATCATCATCATCTTCATCAACAGCCTATAAGTGGCCAATACTGACCAAAAGGCCTCTTCTCACATCATCACCATTCAAAAAACGTATACTGGTGAAAAAATGCCTTCTGGTCTCTCTTAGGATGTGGTTTCGTCTTTAGTTGACTCGTGATCTGGGGATCACTGCAAGTTTACCAAAATTTAGAGTATTTTGCTGTATTTTGTTTAGGACATAATTTGGGTCCCATTACTAAATTTAAATATTAACAATACCAAATGAATCATTGTCAACTATGTGCTATATTCATTAAAAACTTAACAGCATTTATTTCAATTAACCATATTTTGGGTACTTTAAAACGTCAACAAATATAAAATAGCTAGGAACTCGTTCCAAAAAGTAGATTCGAGTGTAGAAGAACGAGAAAGAAACTCCATTCGCTATTCGTTTAAAAAATTGTATGTTGTACAATCTCTCTGATACACATTGTTTACCTATTTCCACGCGGTTTCACATGCTCTGCTCAACAACTATTGGTCGTAATGTGATGTTTTATAGCCTATAGCCATCCTCGATAAATGCGCTATCCAACACAAAAATAATTATTCAAATCAGACTTGTAGTTACGGAGATTAGTGCGTTCAAACAAAAACAAACTCTTCCGCTTTATATAATAGTATAAGATATAAGATATATGTGATAATAATGTAAAGACACGCTTGACGCATAATACAAATTACAGACCTAACTAAAATAAAAAAAAACGAAAATAAAGAAATATCTTATAGTATAGCATGGTGCTCACATATGCAAACTGAAGTGTGTTGTAATTAGCGCATGATTTATAATTAGATAATTACTATTATTAGAATCTCTAGAGTGTTGAAAGAGTCGGGTAAGGACTACTAATACGATAGACTTGGCATCAGCGCTCTATGATAGACATGGACCTTTTTACACTGCAATCTGCATCTCACTTATAAAGCAGATAATACAACAAACTCATTTACGTAGGAAAGGTCTGTAGTCCCGCGTCGGATAGTCACGGACCGTTGATGATAGGTTAAAAGCACTTACGTTTCCAACTAACCCCAAGCTAGGTACTAAAACAAAGAGTAGGTAGGTAAACCCAGTAAAAGTTTCCAAAGAAAGCAATCAAATAAATTGAGCAAATAGAGGGTTATGTGCGCTGGATGTATTTCCCAGATTTTCGTATCTAGCGACTCAATTTTTGGCACGAGTCCAATGTCAACGAGTTAGGTAACCACACCAGCAAAGCGAAATGGTCACAACATGGCGCGACTTTACGTAATTTTGGAAAAGTAATAAATATATTTTTATAACTACGATAAGTTGGTAAACGAGCAAACGAATCACCCGATGGTAAGCAATCGGCGTCGCCCATGGACATTTGGATCACCAGAGGCGTTACAAGTGGGTTACCGGCCCTTTGGGGATTAGGAGTTTGAGGATCGTTGGGGATTCAGGGGTTGGGGAGATTGGGGAAGGGGAAGGTAATTGGGCCTCCGGTAAGCTCACTCACACGACGAAACACTACGCAAGCGTTGCTTCACATCGGTTTTCTGTGACGCTGTGGTATCACTCCGGTCGAGCCGGCCCATTCGTGCCGAAACATGGCTCTCCCACACCGTTTGTCTAAACGTTAGCTTTAGTTATTATTATTCAGTACCTAGTTAGACTCTAACAGACTCTCTAATGGACAAAGTGATTTCTGGCAGCACTTGCTAACGCAAGCGCGTGGGTGTCCCCAACGAACAGAAAAATTTTGTACCTCATCAAGGCTGTTGAAAAAAAGGCAGATACAATCTCCTGAAACAACGACAATAAATTTAGATGTTCTTGCTGCTCTCTATGAGATCGATTAGACTAGAATATGATAACTACATAAGTAACAGAAGTATCATAAGAATTCTCCCTTACATCATGTAAGAAGGAAAAAAGCACTTTAGCATTTAAAGAACAACTAGCGACATCTATACCGTCGACATGAAACTACGTTGACAATTAACTCATTAAAAATGATAATGAAGCACACTAATCTTTTCGTTCACGATTCTAGATAGCGTTGTAAGCAATTAGCGAAATTGTTAAAGTAGAGTCATTAGTAGTATTTTATCTTTATTCAGGATGGGAAGTCATCTTCCATTCTGTGTATATGAGATGAACAAAAGAGTAATGGACTCTTACTAAGTAGTAATTTCTTTACAAACTACATTTAAAAAACCGACTGCAACTCCCTCTTTCTAACCTTCACTCACCGACCAACCGAGGTCGAGTCGATTGATATACATACATACTTAAACGTTCTCCTAACTGTAACAGACACTTTCCTGACAACCACATCGGAGTCGGTTCAGTTAATAGCAAGATAATTGCGCACAAAGATACATTTATTATAGAAGTCAAACTGAGAATCTTCTTTTTTTGAAGTCGATTAAAAATGAAGTCGTCCCAACTCGTATTTTATTTCAGGGCTATGGTACATAGTACATGTCTATAGCTGCTAGTCATACATGTGAATACAGTAGGGATTAAGTAAACACTTGCCAAAGGTGAGAAAATGTAAAGAAATTGCAAGGTAATTAGTAATTACTAAAATCGTCATTTTTTACTCGTACAAACTGTTCTTAAGGGCTCGTACAGAAAACTGTGATGCAACGTCGCATCGCAAAGATGTGCGAGCTCTCTCTACGTATCGCAAGAACTTGCGAATTGATTCGCATCGCGCATCAAAATCTTATCTACCCAAAATCTTCTTTGTTTCTTTTTCCTGTATCTCCTAAGCAATAACAGAAGTGTACACTTCTTTTCACTATCCATGTCACGACCTAGTTTTCAATTTAAAATATTTTTAGTACGGTTGACTGTCATCGAAGGAATGGTCACCCTGGTCACCTTGTCGCCTGAAATCAAATATCATCGTAATTTTCTCCGTTGCGAATTCGCATCGCATCGCAGTTTTCATTTGTTGAGGTAGTATGGAGTTCGCCGAGTCAGCTATTGCAAAAAAACAAAAGACACGTAAATGACGTCAGACACAAAATGACAAGGCCAGAAATATATCATGTTCTCTTTCTAAATCCAAATTATTGCCGCCTTTAGAACATTGGAATTAAAACAAATGACACGTCAATTACGTCAGACACAAAATGACAAGAGCAGCAATATATCATGTTCTCTTTCTAAATTCAAATTATTGCCGCCTCTTATTTAGTGCATAATGTTTGTGTTGTCTTGAGTTTGCATTGTTACTTGGGTGTACAAACTCCTTGGAGAAGGTGTATTAAATTAATTCAATATTATGTACTTTTTCTATGACTTTCTGACATCAAAATCATTGTTTTCTATAAGAATTAAAAAGAATTATAAAAATATTTTCTTTATATTGTTTCTATTGATAATAGGTACTTCTTTATAGTTATATTTAACATGTTACAATCACCATGAACATTGGGAATTAGAATCTATGATAATACTATATAATAGAGTTGAGAGTAACAAGAATTGCCATACACCGGGAACCATTCTTTTTTGAAACAACTGTTGAAGTACTAAGACTTAACTTTTTTACGGTCTTTAGGGAACAACTGAGAGTAAAATTCCCCTAGAAAAGAAGGATCCTAAGACCAGGCGATGTGATTATGCCTGACGGGCTTATTACTTAACAGTAATTGTTCGTTAGGATTTTCTATCCATGCCATGTAAAGTTCACAAGTGCGCTGCAGGAATAGTGTTGTCATCTGTTAATTTACTCATCGATTTTCTATTTGTGACTACTTCTTTATTGTCATTTGTGTTATGTATCGCCATTGGTCTATTCCAAAGTCTATTAGACCTATGTATTAATTGTATTTTCATCCATTCAATCAATGAGCTTGAACAAATCTTTGTATAAGTAATTTAAGTCATAACTAATCACATTTTTTTTATGGCATAAGCTGGTAAAGGAGCAGACGGATCACCTGATGGTAAGCAATCGGCGTCGCCCTTGGACACCTGGAACACCAGAGGCGTTACAAGTGCGTCATCGGCTTTTTGGGAATTAGGAGTTTGAGGATCGTTGGGGATTCAGGGATTGGGGAGATTGGGGAAGGGGAAGGTAATTGGGCCTCCGGTAACCTTAATCACACGACGAAACACAACGCAAGCGTTGCTTCACGTCGGTTTTCTGTGAGGCCGTGGTATCACTCCGGTCGAGCCGGCCCATTCGTGCCGAAGCATGGCTCTCCCACACTTAAAACAACACACTTTAACATTGTAAAGATAAGCTTTAGAATAATTCGTCACGTCGACACCGCAATCATATCAATTAGGATATGATTGCTGTCAGCGCAGCAGTATTTTCCAGCTTTAATATCATGCAATTATTATTTCAATGTCAAAATATTTATGTTATTTAGAAAGATTGATATTATTGCCCTAATTAAAGCAAAATGACTGTCTGATTATATGTTTACGCATCATGCAAAAACTACCGGTCCGATTGCAATGGAACTTGATGTAATTAACTGTCAGTTATTTAAAAAAATATTTACACAAACTATTATATCTTTAACTTTCACTTCAGAGTGTCTAAAGCGAGTTGGTTTTACGTTAACGCGCGTTACTCTAGTAGAAAAATACAAGATTATGTGTTAAAAGAAAGTGTTCAAAATTAAGAAACATTAAGGATAAAAAGAATGATACAGATTACATTTATCTATTGTTATACCATTTTTTAAGGGGTTAAAATTATCCAATGTCTCCCGCCTTGGGTTAGGTGAGAGGGAGTGTCCGACTCTTACTGACTAAAAACCACCCCGTTCCTACTCCTGCTCTTTGAGCCGGGGCCCGGGGCTTTCGTGGCTCCGTATCGGGTCAATTGTACCTTGTGCTTCGATGGATATAACATCGAACGTCATAATCTTATCAATGATTATTAATTTATAAATAGTATCGTATACAAAGATAACACGCTATTTTAATCGGTGATTGAATTGAGTGAAGGCAAGTTTAGTGTTTTAAATAAAAATATTAAGGTGAGTGTTTACAAAAGTGTGGGCGAGCCGTGCTTCGGCACAATTGGACCGGCTCGACCAGAGTGATACCACGGCGTCACTGTGACAACAAACCGACGTGTAACAACGGTTGTGTTCTGTTTGTAATATTATGGTGATTGTTAATCAGAAAATTTGAACTTGAACAACCTTAAGTGTTTCAATAAATGATTAAAAGTTCAGTCTTTCATTTATATTTGTTTTGTGACTGTATCTCATTGCAAAGATCTTACTGATTTGATTTTATCAAGGGATGGAACAAGAGTAATTTTATTTTTCTGGGGTAAAACAATCATTGCATGTACCTTAAAGCTTAGCCACAGATTCTTTTTTATGGCATAAGCCGGTAAACGACCAGACGGATCTCTTGATGTTAAGCAATCGGTACTAGAGGCGTTACGTTGCGATACGCCTTTTGAGAATTGTGGGGATATTCAGGGATTGTGAAAATTAGGGAGGGGGTGGTAGTTGGGCCTCACTCACACGACAAAACACAACGCTAGCATTCTTTTCATGGCCTCGGTATCACTCCGGTCGAGCCGGCCCATTCGTGCCATAGCATAGCTCTCCCACACTTGAACCTTTTACTTCAGTTTTAAAACTAGTACCAATGACACTAAAATTAGAATAATACTCTGAAAATGTGTACTATATAGTACACATTTTTAGTCATATGTATACTATATAGTGGTCAAAATGTGTACTATAATGTACACATTTTTAGTCCCAACGACACGGGACGTTTATTCTTGTGCGGACGCGGCGATGTCGCGCAGCCAACTGAACGTTCAATTAATCTGTAGTATTGTTATCTTATAAATTGTTTTTATTTTCTATGACTTATGTCTAATGATGATAAAATATAATAATATGATGATTACAAATACTTTTCGTAGGTCAGCAACTTAATAACCACTTAACACTTAATTAATGTAATTACAAAACATTGTAGAACATACTTTTTTTAAAAAGAGTAACGAATGGAGATTCTTGCTCGTTCTTCTCCATTCGAATCTACGTTTTGGAATGAGCACCTAGCTTCATCTAATTTCACTGACGGACTGACTGACAGACTATTATTTATTTTGTACTAGCGACCCGCCCCGGCTTCGCACGGGTGCAATATGTTTATACATACAAACCTTCCTTAAGAATCACTCTATCTATTAAAAAAAACCGCATCTAAATCCGTTGCGTAGTTTTAAAGATCTAAGCATACATACGGACATACAGCGAAAGCGACTTTGTTTTATACTATGTATTGATTTGTTGACGTTTCAAAAGTACCAAACTATGGTCTAATTGAAATAAATGCTTTGACTTTGACTTTAAAATTAACGTAATCTACATTGCGCAATATACGGAATATTGCGCAATGTCAGTGTCTCTTTTCTGATTCTTCTGTTTAAATTTTTCAACTTAATGTTTTTCTTACTTCCACTGTCACACCTTTATTATATTATTTATATTTTACTAATGCTGCATCATGCCTGGTGCTGAATAAATGTTTTTTCTTTCTTCTTTGTTTTAATGTAGGACTGAGTACGGATTCCTTAGAAAGTTGCTTCGGTTACTCAATTCCATAAAACGAATATTATAAACGCAAAAGTTTGGGTGTATGATTGTTACTTTTGTGCCGATACTCAATCATGCCAAAACGATTGGAATAGGGGTAGGTACATTATATTCTGGAATAACACATAGGTTTCAATTCAATTCCACAGGAACGTGGGCAAAGCCGCTGGCATAAAGCTAGGATTAAATAAAATTCTTCTTATGGTGACTTCAGATTAATTCTAAATGGTTTCTCATCACCGCATCTGTCTTAGTGTTTAGTCACAGTATGAGAGTAACACGTGGTTGTTACAGATGACGAGTTTCATCATCATCACAGTGCTGTCAGCACTCGCAGCCTGCTATGGTGCCGTTGTACCTCCGAGTGAGGAGAATATGATCTCACGCTTTGCTCTGGAGCAGATGTATCCAGATTTCACCGTGGAGTACAATGAAAAATACGAGAACAGAGTCGCGTTTTCCAAAGGAGAAGCTAGAAATGACCAAATATTGTTGCTGACGTAAGTATTCTAGTTCAATTTTTTTATGGAATAAGCCGGTAAACGAGCAGACGGATCACCTGATGGTAATCAATCGGCGTCGTCCATGGACACCTGGAACACCAGAGGCGTTACAAGTGCGTTACCGGCCTTTTGGGATTAGGAATTTGAGGATTGTTGGGGATTCAGGGATTGGGGAACAGGGGGGAGGGGGTAGTTGGACATCCGGTAACCTCATTCACACGACGAAACACAACGTTGTTTCACGTCGGTCTTTTGTGAGGCCGTGGTATCACTCCGGTCGAGCCGGCCCATTCATGCCGAAGCATAGCTCTCCTACACAAATTGGGATCAAATATCGATATAATGGCATTAATAAGTGTGGTAAGCACTTTAAAAACCCAGTTCTACGCAACTAGTTCCCGTCCTTTGCTGAACAAATACCTCGATCATCTGAAGGTTATCTAATCTTGCGAATTAACTTCCAGCCGTGAAATACACGTGCCAGCTGTACCTGGAGAAACACAGTATGCTGACCTGATCCATCGTAGTTCATCTAATGTACGAATAACCCGAGTCGTGTGGATTCCCCTTACATGGCCCCTACCTACTCTCATCAGTATTAAAGGAGTAGGTACCGATGTAGTTCATATAAGTTGTACATCATTTGTCGGAGAGAATATCCACGTATTGTTTTCGCTGTATGGTGAAATTATTGAGAACTGAGTACGTCACCATCATCATCATCATCATCATCATCATCAGCCGATGTTCGTCTACGTGCTGCTGGGCCCCTCCAATAGTACGCCACTGAGCTCGATCTTCAATTCTTCAGACCTTGCTGAAGAATATATAATATCGTCATTTTACCTAAATGAAGACATAATGCTATGAAAATGGCCGACCTGGCAAGAATATTGCTTATCAGTAAACCACATAGAAAGTTCTCAAATTAAAGTTATCGATAAAAATTTGGTTTTTCATTTAAGTATTTTATATATACCGATTGACAAGCAACGTGTACCGGGCGCTATTCCCTCTTTATATGATCCACAAGTGGTTGTTTCGGGTCTGGGTGTCGTTTATATGAAAAAAAATATATGTTTGCGAACAGACCTACAGCACAGAAGAAAATGCTAGTATGGAGCGATGTATTTTAAAATAAAAAACATATTAGTTAATAAGCTTTACACACTTATTTAAACACAATTAGTCTGATATCACATTAATTTAAATTATAAACTGCAAGTGTGACTGCTGGGCAAGGGGACTCGGGTTCGATTCCCGGGTCGGGCAAAGTATTACTGGGTTTTTAAAAATCTCATTAGTAGCACAGAGTCTGGAAATGTGCCCGGTATATGGCAATAGGCTCACCACCTATTACACGGGACTCATAAATAGTGAAAGGTGGGTGTTACATTGTACAGTGGCATTTAAGTCCCGAAACGTACACCTCTGCCTACCCCTTCGGGGATAAAAAAAATCGTGATGTTATGTTATGTTATGTTAAATTAAAAAATATATGAAACAAGCTTTTATATAGCTTAGTACAAACAAAGAAGATTCTAGTTTTATGGTCATGTAAAATAATCGAGTAATTTTTTTTTATTTATTTATTTATAAACTATGTACATAATAGTTCAATTAGTTAATGATATCTAGGTCATTTAGTTGCACAATTTCACATACACATACACATGCATATGCATACATAATAGATACACCACAAGTTACATAAAATGTTGTAAATACGATATTGAAAGCCATCGGGCGTAATATAAAAATGTCTAATTATTATTTCCTTTTATTTTGTTCTGCAACAAAATTGAAGCTGAATAAAATTGATACGGCAATATTATCAATTAATTTTTATTTTCAACAGTTCAAGATCATTTAATAGTAACTATTACTAAATTAAACATATACAACAAATATATATTATCAACTAGCTTTTGCCTGCGACTTCGTCCGCGTGGAATAGTGACTTCCGGCAGAAAAGTATAGATAGCTGTGCCCGCGACTCCGTCAGCGTGTAACTCTTGTGTATTAAGTTAACGAATGGAGTAACTTCTCCCGTTTTCCCAATATTTCCCTTCACTGCTCTGCTCCTATTGATCGTAGCATAATGAAAAGTATACTATAACCTGCCCAAGAGTATAAAGAATAATTGTGCCAAATTTCGTTAAAATCCGTCGAGTAGTTTTTGTTTCCATAACGAACATACAGACAGACAGACAGACAGACAAAAATTTTTCTGATTGCATTTTTGGCATCAGTAGCGATCCCTAACCACCCCTTGATAGTTATTTTTTAAATATATTTTATGTACAGAATTGACCTCTCTACAGATTTATTATAAGTATAGATAGATTAATCGTGCCGATTTAAAATTACGAACCATATCTATTAGATTATCTTATTTTTTAATACTTGTTTCCTGTTTGTTACAATCACTAAGGAAATTTAGTTGGAGTGCACTTAAGTTACATTTTTTTAAAATGATTTCTTCAAAAATTGTTTTATGACGTGATAGGCTGGTAAAATATCAGATGGATTACCTGATAGTAAGCAATCGGAGCCACCGATAGACATATGCAACGCCAAAAGAGTTAAAAGTACGTTGCCAGCCTTTAGAGAGTCAGAGATTTGAGGAATTAAGATTTGGATATCGGGGGTGGGGAGGAGAAGATTACTTAGTTGATAACGAATTTTTGTATTATAGACATTGCAAGGCATCTTTAGTCAGTTAAGCTTTACGGACGTCAAACGTAACTTTTCGACGCAGTCTGCCCATCATTAGCGCTCCTGTACTGACTTGAAACTGGTCGCGTAACTTCATGGAACTTAATAAAATTCACAACATAAAGTTACTGTGTAAAATTATGAAACATATTTTCACTAATTAGTCTAATCTTAAGGTATTGTTACACATGCTGATTTTTACAATTGAATACTTTCCTGAATCAAAACTAAATGGTTTCGACTGTTCAATACAATAAAATATTAGAAAATAATCACACTTTCATGAACTGATTTTATGACCAACGTAATTTTAG